TTCTATTGTTACCTATTTTCGTACTATTACACTCCCCTATCTACTTCCTGCAGCAACCTTATAATTCTCCCAAATTGATTCATTCTGGCAGTTTTTCACTCTTCTTGCTCCCATATTGGTGTATGCAGCCTTCCCTATATATTGATACCTTACGGCATGGCTGGATTTATCGAATCTCCAGTTGTTATCTGCAGTGTACCACCTACTTTATACAATGCTCCCATAGTTGATATGATTGACTGTAGCATGGACGCCAAAGCTTCCTATTATAACTTATATTATATGGGTGTACTACTGACAATCGTTTTATTTCCAGCTTGGTGATACAAGGGCACCTAGAACCTTGACTTATAGCACATCAGTATGGCACCTATCATCGACATTGTGATATGCAGTGTTTCTTTATTAGTTTTCAATTTTCTAATCTTGTATGCCAGAGGTGTTCCTTTATTTGGTAAAGTTATCCTCTTATTACAGCCCCTTACAGTATTCACTGCTTCTCTCACCACTTCTAGATATGCTGCATTTAGCTGTCCTCCCAATCAAGATCCCCAAGACTGCCTTAGGGTTGTTGGTGCTACCTAGCCAATCGAGAATTTACATGCACAGCCTTATACAGTATTACTTTTTGTGACTCCATGTCACACATAGTGCCTAGTCTTCTCTATAGCTCGGGACTCCTTCCAAGAATTCTTTATAGGCCAAATAAGTACTTCATATGGTCTTATTATCACAAAGTTTCGCATTCGAAAGCTCCTGTAGGTTACAGAGATAATTAATTAAATTAATTACCACCAGCTGTAATTGAACTGTTGACCTCGTCTGTGGAGGGTTAGATGCCTATACCACTAGGCTATAGGACCCTAACCCTATAATGATAATTAATTTTAAATATTTTTCACTATATAAACTTTATTTTTTAACTTATTAATTAAGATGCTTATATTTAAATCTAATACATTATTGCTCAATATAACTCTTTTTGGATTGAATTCTATACAAAAAATAACAATACTTAATTTACCTCATTCTATAATTTTAGTGTTATATATTTAACTGTTAAATCACCTAATACAACAATTCTGGGTAATATATACAGTATAGTATAAAGAATAATTAAACCCAAACTAGTTTGCAAACTTCAGATCAAACTTTAATCAAACCAGACTTGACTAAAAAGTTCATAATCAAACTCAAACTAAATATAATTTCAAAAAGAAGTTTGAGTTAATTTTAGTTTAAAACTTATATCAAATTCAAACTTGATTAAAAGTTTAACAAGTTGGGTTTGATAGAAGCACTAGCCCACACTTCAATTTTTCAATTTTTGAATTTTCAATTTTTGAATTTTTCAATTTTTAGATTTTTCAATTTTTGAATTTTTGAATTTTCCAATTTTCCAATTTTTCAATTTTCACAAAAATTGCACTTTTGGCCTAAATGAAACACAGTAAAATCTCCATAGAATGGAAAGCTATATACATTTTTCTTATTTCAAAAAAAGCAAACTGGAACTATATACTCTTATTAAGCCACTTAAAAAATACCTTACCAAAATCTTTACTATCTATTTAGATAATTCAAAACCACTTATTAAATGATTTAAACTTTGTAGCAACTAAATAAGTCTCAACTTATACTCCTATTCAAATCCTACTAAACACAATAGAACACTATAAACAAAACAATAAGAAAGCTTGAATACTCTTTCAAGGCATGTCTAAAGCTTTTGACAAAATCAATATACCAAGACTTGCAGATGCTTACAAAAGAATTGACATATCTCAAAATAGTATTAACTTTATAACAAACTTATATACAAATTATAGTGCCAAAGTTATTACAACTTATGGCACTACTAAAGCTATCCCACTCACCTCTGATATTGAACAGAGTGAAACTTTCTCTCTATTATTATGAAAGATCTACTATGATCCTATTTTTAGCTATATTAATTCAAAATATTATAAATCTTTTCTCTAACCAGCATTTATTTACAACAAAACATCATCTCCAATCAATCAAACATATATGTATATACATATACAGTTATATCTCTTTATAATCACACTTTTGGGACTATAGGAACTTTTTTTAAAAAATATTCTTATATAGAGGTGTGCTTATATAGAGGTCTTTTGTTATATATTAAATAGTAATTGGGCTTAAATATAAGTGTGATTATAAAAAGGTTTTTATATGATATGATTATATAGGAAGTGATTATAAAGAGGTATGACTGTATATATAATAACAATAATAAACAAAAATTTCCACAAAATTACATAAAATAAACAACAGAATCACAAATTTTATTTGAAACATGCTTATGATTCTGCCATTTTAACAGCTGGCTTGCTTTGTCAGGCAGGAAACCATCAGCTGATATTCATATTAACAATGCCTATCTATTCTCTACCTGGTCTGTTTTGGCAACTCCCGTGCAATTATATTTCCTGGCATCCTGCCCACCCAAACTTTAGGCGTATGCAATGCTACAATGTTTTTCGTTAAAAGATCTAAGCCGCTGTCAATCGTCGCTAAATTTAGGTTGTTCACAATTTTACAAAATTGGTAAATTTTATTATCACATTAAAAATCGCGCGTTTTATCATGATTGATGCGTCTCCTTTTAATCCTTTTAATAACATAGGACTATAGTTAACTTTCTCATATTTCTAAATTTCAATATGGAAGAGAATGAGAGGATTATAATCTTGTTGCAAGTTCAAGAAGTGCTTGGAAAATTCTTCCTTAATTTTCTAAATTTTAGAAGCACTTATTATATAAAAAAGCTTGGAAATGCTGGCAATAAGTAACAATCTAGCATGAAATTATCTTACTGTTTTTGCAGTAAGTATATTTTAGTTAGTTATTATGAGATGGATGGGTTCAAGGACTAGAATACATTCCAGTCCCGGGACAATTTAGTGATGTATTGACAACCCCCGAGTAGCTGGCTACTACGCACTAGAACAATTTACGTAATGTATTGACAACCCTAAGTAGCTGGCTACTATGCACTGGCCGGTAAGAGTGGAGGAAGTTTCCTCTCAGGCGTTCTTGAATAGTATAAACATATGTTACTAATACAGCTAGATGCCTATATACTAACTGGTTGTTGTAAATAGAAAAATTAGATGCTTACGCACCATCTGGTTGTTAACAAGTTATGGTTTACTCGTCTTAGTCTTAATATTTATTTTGTCTATAATCTAATGTCTGTTTTATTTTTGAAAAGGAAGATAAATTATCTGAAAGAGTAGAAGCTTCGATTTATAAAAATCAACAATGACAAGATCAAATATATTCTTAAACATTTTTAACTTATTTATACATGTTTTATTCAATTAACTTCTAATTTGCTGTTATAAATAGCCTGAATATGACTTACAGTAGTAGTTGAAGTAAGCCAGCAAATGAAAACGTACGCAAAATTCACAATTACAAACCGTTTTTAAAATAATAATCATCATTTAGAATCAAATGAGTTAAAACAGTGAACCTTATTTCTTCGACAATATTTACTTTTAAAGTATGTGAGACAAAGAAATCAAAGTATAGACGATTCTTATAAGAACAATAAATCTTTTAGATACTCAAGTGTATTTTTTTAGTAATGATTTTTGCGTGCAAAATATTGTTGAAAATTTTGTAGCATTTGTACTAACCTCCAGGAAGTAATTGAAATGACAGTTAAAAGGATCAAACAAGAAGATTCAGAGAAACAAACAATTTTCAAGAGGATTATATAAAGATTAAGGAATGTGAGTTAATGAAGGCCGTAGAAAATGATCTTGAAAACAATGCTAATTTAATTAGAAACAGTCGTCCATAGTTTCAAATACATGTGATGGACTGACTTTTAAATCAATACAGCAATACAGTATTGCTGTATTGATTTAAAAGTCAGATCGTCATATGTATTTGAGTGTCAAACAAAAGTTTGATTTTGCCGAGCCAAAAAGGTAAAAAGGCAAATATTAAGTTTGATGGATTTGTAAAATTTAAACTTTATTTAAAAGTCAATCCGCTATTATCTCTTAAATATTTAATGACTGATTTAAGAAAATATATTATTCACACAGATTAGCATCGAAGAACCATGCTAAAAAATAGGAACGTCTATCCCTTCTACAAACCATTCAAAGAATTTTCAAAAAAAGATGCAGAGGAATTATTCGATGTAATATTTGAAAATACAAGTATCGAGTTTGAACTTCTAAAAATATAAAAGATTGTATTCAGCACATTCTTAGTGGAGACACCGAAGATGAATTCTCTATAGTCGAAAGACTAGTTGATAATATGGTCCCATTATTGTTATAGACTCAAGAAGTGTCTTGACATTTTACTTTACTATTATTTTGGTGGACTGCAAGCAGAAGGAAATGAAAAAATTTGATCTACACAAACAATATACCTATTTCTAATTTTTTTTTTTTTTTAGAAAAACAATTCTGGAATCGCATTGTAAGTTTTTATATAATGTTCTTTTCATTTAATACCATTTTTTTATATTTTTATTTCTGATTATAGTGGTGAAATTCCAAATGAAGCACATAATGACCAATATAATATTAATTATTTGTAAAAACCACCACAAGCTGGGCACACAAGTAAAAATGATGCAGCGTTATACCAAGATAAGTATGCATCAGTTCTATATGAACAATCGTACGGGTCTACAGAATTTGTAATTCCACATCAATTAGATAATTTTGTAATTTCTCATCAATTAGATGATTTTGTAATTTCTCATCAATTAGATGATTTTGTAATTTCTCATCAATTAGATGATTTTGTTAAATTAGCACAGAATGGAGTAGATGATTTAAATCATCATTTTACGCAAAATAATAGCCTGAATGTCGACCCAGCTGAACACCATCACGTTCTAGTGAACGAAATAGATCTTTTCACCGCTGCCACAATATTTACAAGAAAGAGAAAGAAGGTCAAAGTCAAGGTCACGATCTCAAGCTAGTCAATCGGAATCCATGGTTATAGTAGGTATATATTTATATATATTATTAATTATAAATTCTATATTAAATTTAATTTTTATGTTTTCAAAATATTTGATTTCGGTATACCTAACAGACGTTATCCGCAAAAACCAAAGCTTGCTACAAAAAGCTTTTTTTCCTAATCGTTGCAAATGATCCAGGCAAAACATATATTTTTCGCATTCTAACTAAAATGAAGTTTCTTGTTTTAAAATTCCTACATCTTTTCAGAAAGATGGGAATTATTAAATATTGTAAAATTTGGTGTTCTTTTAGAGGTATTTTATTTTCTAAAGCATTAAAAATATTATTTATAAACTTTTACTTCAATTCTATTTATTTATTTATTTATAGAAATTGCTCACCAAAAACGAAAGAAAATGCTTTAAATCAATAATGACTGTCGTATCGGTGAATGGATAAAGATAAACAGATAACACACCCACAAAGAGATAAATTGCGAATTTAGAAAGAATATAACAAGAACCTATTTTCATTCAGAGTTTCTTTTTACGATTTAGCATTTGATGTGTAATGGCATATGATGTAATGTTATTAATTGTATGAATACTTACAAGTAAATCATTGTATGTACGTACGTACGTATAAGGTTTTTCGGATTTAACATATCCCGATTAAGTGGCTAATCCTGATGAAGAAATTATATATTATGTTCGCTTGAAGTTTGCTTGATCTCAAATTTGTTTCACTAAAGGCTGTCAATGAAAGTAATAGTGTATTGATCTGTATTTAATTCGCTATTAATTAAAGGATAAATTTGGATCAGTAAATGAATTTCTGAAACTACAGGGACATTGTCTAATAGAATTGTCTAATCTAGAACATGAAATTAAATTTTTTAAAAATCGAAAATGATATCTTCAAAATACAATAATTTTGAAACACCCTAATGGTAAAAATTCGTAAGTTTAAATACCTTATTTTAAATAACTGACAAATAAATAATATATATATATATATAATTTATATATTGTATTCTATAATATCTTAAAAATATACCGATTAATAAAGTAATAAAATGATAGATTAAATGTTAATGCACAATCATAGTACAGTATATCACCGATTAGTTAAAGCCGTGGAACTTGACCCAAACTTGCTGTATAAATTGGAATTCGGGATAAAATTTCAAATATAACCAATTTGAACGGCATTAAATAGAAATTCAGGTTTTAATTTGGGCCCAATTCCAAAAAGTCTCCGTGATGATTATGGGTTATGTGCGATTTATGCCGATATAACAGATCCAAATTTCCGAAAATTCCCATGAAATATGCAGTATATACAATTTATTAAAATTGAGAACGAGCATGTTTAGAAAAATAAACAATATAACTCAAAAATTTTAATTAAAAATTCAAAAGGGCTTTCACGCACTAAAACACCATCAGGTACTGTATTAATTCATTAATGTTTCTTGAGTCAATCCATATATTTCAAGTTTACAACTGTAAGACTTTATAAAAAATAGTTAGTTCAATATGTACAAAATAATACTGCTGAAGTCAAAAAAAAAAGCTAGAAAGAAGCTAAACAAGTGGACATCAAAAGTGTTATACGTACTACCGCCACTGAACCAGTAACTACCACGACTGTAGCTACCGAGTATTATAACCTATTGTTATTAAAATGTAAAAGATCATTTATTGTAACATTCAGTTCATGCTATGGTGAAAGCATATATGGCTGAAGCTGGAATTAGGGACCTTGATTTAAAAATATAAACCCTACCAAAATCCATTTATACTCTATTATTATTAAAACTACCCCTAAACCTAACCTAATCCTAGAAAAACAAAACCTAACAAAAGGCCCAAGGATTTTTATATTAAAATTACCACATGATAATCAAAGACTTTTTATTTAGAAGTCGAATTTCAAGAAGATATATATTTAAAGTAACCTAAAAAACTATATATTTTTAACCTTTTATTAAAAAAAACAATTTTTTTTAACTTAGAATTCATTTTTATATTATTACATATAAATCTAGTTATAACAACCCACTTCTTTAAATAGTAGTAAATTATGTTGAAATACACTTACGTATAATTTTAATGTGAAATTTGCATACATATCAATTAATACGTGGTAAAAACTGTTATGGCCTATTCTTTAACTTTTCTTGAATGATCGTAATATTTGTGTGTTTCGCGTATATAAAATAGGCATTTTACCGAGAATTCATTTAGCCGGCATCGGCATCACTCCAAGTGACAATTTACTAACAATATATATTTACAACTAATTAAACGCTAACCCTATGTGATGAACTGTTAATAAACCGTACGTTAGTTCTGCATTTTAAAAAACCCAATGTCATCTTTTAAGAAGCTTAGCGTATGTCATAAAAAGTATCTGTCCTGTGACCTCTAAGCCAGAGTGCAATTTCTCGAGCGTATTCAAAAAAAAAAAAAAAAAAAAAAAAAAAAAAAAAAAAAAAACACGGATGCGTGATGATAGCCAATAGTTAATCATAATTTAAAAATTCAAAACAAACGTTTGAAAAACATCATAAACAAAAGTTTCCTTAAACATTTTTTATATAACTACCTAACTTCCAATCTTGTTCTAAGCGCTAACCCTAACGTAAAGCATTTCTTAACCATCAAGTAACTAATATGTATATTTTTTTTTATGGTTACGCTACGCTGAGAAAATCACCAGAGTGCGCCAAATCCATATCTTATTGTTAACATAATATAAAATCTGTATATTTAAAGGGAAAAAAAATTTTAAGGTTATTTTGTATAGTTCTAATTTAAGTTAGACCACAGAGTCGACATTTTTTGTGAGATAACTTTGCATATTTTATTAGGTTTCGCCGGGTCTCAAATGCTTCTTCAAGGTTTCGACGCTTCTCTCTCTTTTTTTTTTTGGCTTATATTTCGTCTTTCGCTATTTTGAACTTATGGTTTCATCTTTCCCCATTTTTGAAAATAGGTTTCGCCTAAAAACTGTAGGTGCGCTACAGTATGTAAATCAAAATTAAAATTTTATAAAGGTCAATAATGCAGTATATCTCTGCAAATAAAGCTTTCTTTCATTTATGTATGTTGTAAGTGGGAACAGAATTTTAAGTTGATTCAGAATTTTTAAGGTTAGAGTTGGAATTTTTAAGTGGAATTATTCCATTCTAATCTAAATGAATTCCGAACCTATTATGATTATATTCCCACTCACAACATATATATAAAGAACCAAAAAAAGAGACTGAATAGCCTTAACTTATAGCTTGGTTTGTAGAGATATAATAATAGTTCTTTACAAAACTTTGACCAATGTGCCGCGCACTCCAATGCATGAATCCTAACTAATTGTGATTGCGCAGCATTAACTAATTCTTCTAAGACCAAGATAACGCCCATAGGTATACTCGAATAACGACTTATATGATAAATGAAACAATTAAATCAGATGACTAAGAGACAGATAATAAAAAAACAAAAAGCTAAACAATACATTGTTCACAATATAGTAAAAGAAATTCTTAATGCATATCTTACGTACGTACCTGGTGAATTTCCCGGAGTGTATCAGAAGACATAATGGGAAGTAATAGACCAGTTTTATATTGGGAGCTGCCTGTTTTAAAAGTAGCATAAGTGTAACAATATCAATAAAGTTTCTACTATAATACAGTATAAGAAAAAAGAAAGTAAGATATATATATATATATATATATAACATTCTGTTGTAGTTCATATTAAAAGACTAAAAAAATAAATTGCTTGAAAAGAAATGACTTTTGTTAATGGTACTCTGATACAAATTTAAGCTAGAATATGTTCTTGAATGTAACAAAATATTGTTTAAAGAAAATCATGTAAATAATATATAATACTCTGTAAATACAACTATAAAGAAATTTTGTAACTTATGTTGTTGGCCTTATTGAAATCGTTAAAAACCACACCAAGATTTATTTTAGTCATTATAATAGTTAAAGACTTTTGCTGCGCTAATTTCTTATGTCATGTTCCTACAATATAAAATATAAATTTGTTTAGCAAATGTAAATGTTTGCTATAAGGAGGTTTTTTTTTTTTTGCACATGAATTACGCGCAGGTTTTTATCATTCTAAGGAAAAGTTTAAAAATTCAACCGAAAAAAAAAAATCAATTCTAGTATTCGTGAAACAATTCATTCAAGCACATAAATATTTTTGAAAAAGATTTAATGTTCATTTTTAGAATTTATTTACAAAGATTTACAAAGGTCCTATAGTACGTAAAAATAAATATGAACAACCGAATAAGGTATTGATAAGAATGTATAACTATATAAAATGACAATTTAGAAAAAAACAGATCAAGCCAGAATTTTTATGTACAAAAAAAAAAAAAAAAATAGATTAAAAAAACGTGTTGTGAATTTGTCAGAAATTTTCCTAAATCCCAATTGCCAATTGCCTATTGCCTATTGCCTAATGCAAATGAATATGTTAAAATCGAAAAAAGAAATTACAAATGATAGGAGAAAAAAAAACTACAATGAAGGAAACTGCAAATGATAAGGAGAAAAAAATTTTTTTTTTAAAAAAATGAATAATGATTAATCAAATATATGTATATAATTTACACAAAGTCCTATTCCAAAATGACAAATGGACCAATGAAACAACAAAATATAAATACAGTTATGAATAAAATTATAGTAAAAAATTGACAAGAATATATGAGTAATTGTAATGTTGAAGGTTGAGGTCTAAATTTTATAAAGTAATTTTAATGATTAGTAACTTATGCAAACATAAATTTAAATAAATAAAGAATTAATGTAATTGGATAAAATTACTTACAAATTTCCCGAACACTTTTTCATAAATTTCTTCTTTTGAATAGGCTCAAATTTTTTATCAATATCTACCTTCTTTGGTGGTTTAATAAACTGATCGTCAGCAACTTTTTGCAGACTTTTTTTTGACTTTTTTGAAGTAAAAGATTGACCCTTTCCCACGCTATCAGAAATCCCATTTTTTTTCCAATCGTCGCCTTTTTTAGTCTCTTCTACTGAAGGCACACAACCATGTGATGAATATTTTTCAGCTGAACTCTTTGCTAAATACGAACTCTTTGCTAAATACGAACTCTTTGCCAAATATACAAAAAATATGATCCATTGCTTATTCACTTCATACCAATCTTTATGGTCTTTAACAGCTTTTCGAAAAACTTCATCCCCAATTACAACATTTTTTTGATGTACATAATAAAAGCTAAGATTAATGGCAGTCGTTTTTATATTTCGCAAGTAGAGGGAATCTTCATTTTTAAGAAAATTACATTTTGAAAATTCTTGGTTAAAATGTTGAAGATGTGCGAATAGATCGGTTAAAGCTTTTCTTTGTAAATCGTTTAATTGATAATTATTATAAGGCATTATTGAGTATTTAATTCTATTACTTTTTGGATTACTTTTTGGATTAGAGAAGAGAAAATATTTAATTGAGAATATGGTAGGAATTTATAGCGCAGTTATTAGCCTATTTAACAAGAAGGAATTTTTTTTTTTTTTTTTTCCTGTAACAAATTTTTTAAAATAATGATGCAGTTACGCAGAACTTTACAACAATATTCGGCATTGTTTAAGAAATACCAGAATATTTTCTGATTTTAATCTTCGGTGTAACCGATTATCGATTCTATCTCGGGCGAGTCATACAATTACACAAAAACGAAATATCAAAAGAACAATGAAATCATTTTGATAATAGTTTAGTACGTAGATAAAAAGATAAGAAATAGAATTACTCATGTAAATCAAAAATCGTTGGAGTCTTACTCATATACATATAAATGATTAATGCTTTAAATCAAGAAACTAAAATAGATGAGATAAGCGTAATTTTTATGATGTATTTTAAAGAAATTTTTTTTTTCACGGAAAACTTCAAATCTAAAAAGTAATTTTGAAGTAATAATTTAAGCATTGTTAGACATCTTACGGAACGCCCAAAGAATTTATTTTGTTAAATGGATACACAAATGTTGAATTCTAATTCTAAATTTACAAAAACTCCTTTGATGAAAATTGAGTACTTATTGTATAACGATATAAATATAAAGATAATATAATAACAAACAATATAACGATAAATAATGATACGTACGTACGTACGTAAGTTATGTGTCTACTATTTTCAGAAAGCCCATGCGGTGTACCAGTGCCCGCAAAAAAACGAGTATTAAAATTGGTATCTTGTTCGGAAAGGTTCGGAATGTAAATGATAGAAATGAATTTGGTAAGTTTTGATCAAGAATTTTTTTGGATTAGGATGTTTATAGAATGTCGTGGTACTCTTGCAACATGATCAAGATTAAATCTGAAGTGTTAAAGTTTTGATTACCGTTACATGAATTACAGAATTACAGAATTACTACCACAACCCCACACACCCACACGTTTGATGTTTTTTTTAAGATTTTAATTTGTACGATATTCTTTGCATATTATTATTCTCTTGAATACAGTTTCTGGGGACTTTAAAAAAAATATTATTCATCATTTGATAAATTTGAAAACTATCGCTTAGACCTGTTCATAATATGCACTTTGAATATTTGATACATGCAATGTCCATTACTGCAACTGTCCGTTATTTTATCATAACGACAACAAATTATATATTAGGAATTTCTTAGTATTACTTAGTATCACTTAGTATCACTTAGTATTACTTAGTGCTGTATTACATTAGCATAATAATATTATTGTCGGCATAATTTAAATCCTTTTGTTAAGTAACTTGTAACTAACTTGTAACTAACTTGTAACTTAAGTAACTGAAAATTTGACATGTTGAAATTCTGACAAACCTAAACGTAAATATTTGATATGAATATGAAAAACATTTTAAAAAAAATTTTTTCAAAAAAAAAAAAAAATTCGAATCTAACTAAAATAATTTTTGCATGTGATAGTTTACTTGAGTATATACATAGATATAAAAATTATAAAAATCACGCGACTTTAGTATTTCCGATTTCGGCCAAAAGGATTTAATATATCAATTAATTGATGCATAATCAAATATCAGCTGAATTCGATGTCTAATAATTATCATACATTATTAACTGTTAACGTTAACGTTAACGTTTTGCTTATTTTCAGATGAGATTGATAAAAAATACATTCATTCCTGTTAGATTAATGATCTGTTCCTACTGTATAATATTATTTCTTTTTTTTCCAGTTGATTGCCCAAAATGTTACTTCACACATCGCGTTGTAACAAATTGAAACGGATCCTTAAATCCATATTCTTATAACCTTCAATAGTACGTATTCTAAGAAAATTTAAAATCTACCGATATTAATAATTAAATTATAAATTATATAATATATATATATATATGTTTTTGAATTATATATTTATATATGTATAGTAGTCTTTTAAAATAAAAATTATATAAATTATATATCTAGTCTCTTACATGCATATCTTCATAAACTGTATCTAAAATTGTTTGAGGCTAAGTTTAAATATATATTTAAGTATATATGATATTATTTTTTAGGTAAACAGAATAGATATAATATTTAATACTGTAAGATTTTTATATTATATATATATTTATATATACAGAATATACTTAGTACATACTGTATATTTTTAAAAAAACGACATATATTTTAATATTAAATTAAAGTTAAAATTTAGATGGCAGATTTTTATTAGATTTTTAAGATAAAAGTTTGGAGTAATTTTTTTAAATTAATACAAACATTAATACAATATAATTTAATTTTATCCCTTACATTACTTACATCGTTTTACAGCCAAAACTTCTGACAAATGCACTTATGCACTTTTTTGAGCATATCATATGTAAATTATAATTTAAGGGTATGTGGTGTTTTAAGCAAACTAAGTCACCTATTCGAGCGCTTTCGCCTTATTATTTTTGGAAGTGCATAGTGTTAGATCTTGCGTTCTTTATTTCTTTGAGGGACCATCTGCGCCCAGGCAAATTTGCCTGCAAATACTTTATAGTATTGTATTTAAGAGACTAACTGAATCATGTTAAAGCAACTATATACTGTATATAAAATATATATATATATATATATATATATATATATATATATATATATATATATATATATATATATATATATATATAAAACTATAAAAATAATATATAGATTAATTTTAAAAATATACTGTATATATTTTAATATTATATACTGTATATATACTGTATATACTGCATTACTGTATATCAGATATATATATATATATTTATTTATTTATTTGTTTATTAATATTTGTAGAATTGATTGTTATTGCTAATAAATTTTTTTATAATATATAGTATAACCAACTATCAGATATAATAAATTATTTTATAATATATAGTATAGTCAACTATATATCAAATATAATAAACACTTTATACTAAATTTACTAGTTTAATAATCCAAATTTGAAGTACCGTTAATATAAGACCCGGATCTAGTACATTTCACACAATATTTCACACAATACTTCACACAATAGGCAATTAAACCATTGAAAAAAAATTACTATATTTGATTAATCAGGGACCGAACCGAATCGACTTTTGGGTTATGTTCGGTTTGGTTTGATTTTCAAACTAAACTCAAATCCAGACTTTTTTAACATGGGCTTTATATAACAAACAACTATATACACAAAATATTCATAGTACTTCTTATCTCTACTTATTTTTATTTTACCTTTTCAACTTACTTATTTAAATTTCAATTCCAATTCCCTTTTCATAATGATATCATTATTTGCTTCAATAGATGCCCATCTTAGCAGATTTATGAAAATAAACAAATGCCTTATATTGATTTTTCTTTTAATTTCCAGTTCTTCTTTCGTAGTTATATAAAAAATTTCAAATTCATTTGTATTCACATACATGCAAACTTTGATAATAAATTAATGCCTTATGTTCGCCTTTCAAACTCTATTTAGCATTTCATTCCATCGATATCTGTTTTCTTTTCCTAAAATAAACACGAATAAAATAAAAATTAAAGAGTAAAAAATAATGCCTTTTTGAATATTAGATTAATAAAACTCATCATCTAATTAATGCAATTAATGATAAAATTATTTAAATAATTAAATGAATAAACGTTCTTTATACTTACTACTGTAGACTAATGAAAATATAAATTACGTGAAATACTAAATATTCTGATATTGGGATGGGGCCTCTATTTAAAAATATAAATCCTATTAAAACCCACATATACTCTTTCACATACACTCTTTAATTATAAACCCTAACCCTAAATTCTAACCCAGCCATAAAAAAAAAAAACCAAAAAAACATGCTTAAAAATTTTTAAAATTTCATATTAAAATAAGTTCAAATTTCAACATCATACCCCACAGTAAATATACATGAAATTGCATAGCTTATTAGATTAGTAATCGTTATTTATGCTCACCCACAATTAATACATTTAAAAAATAAATATTTTGATTATCGTATAGTCACGAAATAACATCTCTGCGCATTATTTTCAGGTATGCTCATGCACTAAGTTTTTTTAAGGAGAAGCAATTTCAGAAATAATGCCCATATGCGTTATTTCTTACTAATTGATGCAAATAAATAGTATATGGCATATTTTAAATACTGTAAGTACATCAAATTTTATGATTGCATTTAATAAAGTTATAAAGCTTGATATAATCAAATCGAATAAATTCCCTTTAATTCGGTCAAAATTTACTTTGGTTCCTTAGATTAATTAAGCAATATACTAGGTGAGTGAAAAGCTCCCGAACAGAGATACAATTAGATTTTTTATAAATCTATAGATACCGTATTCCGTTCTCCAAAGTACCCCGGGTCTTTTACAAATTTGGCCATTTTAAAGCCCGACAAGGGTACTTTACATGGTTGGGTATTTTTTACAAAGTTATGTAGTTTACTATTAACATAGTATAAAATTGTACTGAATACTCATAGCATTATACTCGGATATTTTACAGTTATTAAGGTGGGATATGAGTACTTCGGAATACGATATTTGCAATATGATCGGTATAATTAAGATGATAACAAAAATATGTAATTTAGTGATTAATGAAAAGGCCTCATTTTAGGGACTTCATCCATCCAGATATATAGATTATAAAAAAAATTTCAATATTAGTAGAGATAAAACAGAAGGTCCCGTTCAGGAACTTTTTACCCACCTGGTATATTCAAAATTGATAATATATAAAATGATAATTTTTGAACTAGCAATTAAATTTTTCTTTATCGGTTTGTTTTGATATACTCTTTAAAGTGATATCGCTCTTTCTTGTATTCTTACAAGTTATTCAATTTAAGTACAGTATAAAAAAATCTTTATTACAGTATTAAAATTCATTATACGTATAAACTGCATTATACGTATTTGTAACCATAGTACCGTAATAACGCCCCTGCGTTTTATTTTGGATCCCTTCGCGTTATTTTGAAGCGTGCATACGCCTTATTTGGGCCCCTGCGCGTTATTTTGAAGCGCGCATACGCCTTATTTTGAGCAAGAATATGATTTTTTTTCAAATCTCGTAATACATGGATGCTATTGTAATAACTAAATTAGCAACAGAGTTATAAAACGTGAAAAGCATCTAACTTTTGCAAATTTCATCGGATCTGCATAATTTTGGTACTACTTATCAAATGATTCGCAATCACTAAATCATTCAAAAAAAAACCACCGTATTTGCGCGTAATAGCGCACATGTGTATTATTTCGAAATCCTTATTTTTTTTGAAAATAGTCCAAAATAATGCGCTCTCTTAAATATACCATATTACATATTTTGATCGAATTTTCAGGCTAAGTTCACTAATAAAAGCAGGGCCTCCTTTTGTAACCCAAAATTGTCAAAATTATTCGAATTACCGCGCATGCGCGTCGGGTTTCCTTATGTCAAGAAAATCCCGGGCTGAAGATCACTGTAGATCCTTTCCGATCTAATTCCGAAGCCAAAACATTCAATTTCTTTAAACTTCTAGCGACGATTTCTCAGTAACCACTCGATCAAATTTGGTAAAATTTTTTATTTTGATTCTATATTTTTGTAAAATTAAACCAAAAAAAAGATCATTAAATTTGGTCACGTAGGTGTCGAGAAACATTCGCTAGAAGTTTTGAAAAAGCTTGAAATATCTTAGGAAAAAAATCTAAAATCGGCAAATTTTTTCTTTTTGAAATTTTAAACGATGATTTCTCAACACCCAGATATCCAAATTGAATGAAATTTTTTTTATTTTGATTATATAAGTATCTAGGATTAAAATAAAAAAATTTTTACCGAATTTG